TGGAGGGGAGAGGGAAACGGGGCGGGACGTGAATCAGGTGACGCACAAGGCTGCGGCCGTCCCGCGCGCGTGTGTGTGTGTGTGCGCGCGCGTGTGTGTGGGGACACAGAGGGCGTCTGGGTGCAGACAGCGCTTCCGTGAACCGTTTTCCACCTAGCTCCACAGTTTTTAAAATATATGAAGCAAAACTGATAGAAAAGCGAGGAGAAATGGGCCAATTCACAGTAACCCAATCTCAGAAATCGAGGGACCGAGGGGAGAGGGAAACGGGGCAGGACGTGAATCAGGCGACGCACAAGGCTGCAGCCGTCCCGCGCGCGCGTGTGCGTGCGTGTGTGCGTGTGTGTGCGCGCGTGTGTGTGCGTGTGTGTGCACGTGCGTGTGCGCGTGTGTGCGTGTGTGTGCGTGTGCGTGTGTGCGTGCGTGTGCGTGAATACATGTGGATTATAGGTCATACACATATATTACGTATACTCTGCACCTAAATTTATATACAGATTGAGTACAGTCTAGATTTATATAATATATAACATACATTTATGTTCATAGTAAATTATGTGTAACACACAAACACACAAACACAGACATAACATCAACACTCAGGCATATATGGCATATGTGTACACTGTGTGTGTTTACGTGGTTCTGTACTCACCCCCAAAACAGCAAGGCCCAGAGGGGACACACGGGACATTCACAAACCCTGAGCGCACAGCCCACCATCTGGGGGGGGTCTCAGCAACTTTCCGTAGGCAGCTCTGTCACCCTTGGCCACCGTCTGGTCCCAGCGTAAGAACAGTGGCACTAGAATGTGGACACAGGCTGGACGAGGACAGAAAATGCATCGAGCGGTTCCAGCTGCCTGCACCCTCTCTGCACACTCGGGGTGGAGAGTGGCCGGCCCCCTGACCAGCGTGGAGGGGGAGCGGGCGACACTGGTGCAGGACGCTGTGGAGCGCTGCAGCCCTCCCCCCTGCGCCCCCACACTCCCGTGCTCACTTGGGAGCCCCCCACCCCTCCCGTCTCCAGCAAGAGCCCCAGCGGGGAGCCCAGCGCCTCCAAGAAGACTGCTCAGCCCTTGTCCCAGGGCCGGGGGTGAGCCGGGGGTGAGCCAGATGCAGGCTGGGATCCTCCAGGGAAGCCGGGGGGGTCACCACGCCCTCCCAGCGCCCTCAGCACGGAGCGATCCAGAAGGAAGGCGGGGGAGGGTCCATCGCCACCTGCCGGACGCGAGGACGTGGCTGGAGCGTGTCAAGAACATTTATTACTTTAAATGCACTGATTTTAAAATCCAGAGACTGAAAGTAAATTGTCAAGAAGCTTCCAAACCAGCCGCAGCGTGAGTCCCAGGGCGAAGGCGGGTTTAAGGAAAAGAGAAAAATACAGAATCGACACGAAAAACTGAGCTGAGAAAGGTCAAAAAATTGACACAGCTTGGATGGGGAGGAAGAAGCAGGGGGTGTGCGTGTGCGTGTGTGTGTGTGTGTGTGTGCGCGTGCGTGCATGTGTGTATGTGTGTGCATGTGTGTGCGTGTGTGCGTGCATGTGTGCACGAGCGTGCATGTGTGTGCGTGCGCGTGTGCATGTGTGTATGTGTGTGCATGAGCATGCATGTGTGTGAGTGTGTGCTTGTGCATGTGTATGTGTGTGTGCATGTGTGTGCGCGTGCATGTGTGCACATGTGTGTGCACAAGCGTGCATGTGTGTGCGTGCGTGCGTGCATGTGTGTATGTGCATGCACGAGCGTGCATGTGTGTGTGCGTGTGTGCATGTGTGTATGTGTGTGCATGAGCATGCATATGTGTGTGCACGAGCGTGCATGTGTGTGCATGCGCGTGTGCATGTGTGCATGTGCATGCACGAGCGTGCATGTGTGTGAGTGTGTGCTTGTGCATGCGCGCGCACACGTGTGCATGCACGTGTGTGCGCATATGCATGCACACATGTGCGCATGTGCTGCACATGCAAGTGTGTGTCTGTGCGTGCTTATGTGTGCTTGCATGCCTGCATATGTGTGGCATGCAATCACGTGTGAACGTGCGTGTGCACACACGTGTGTATGCACATGTGCATGTCTGTAGAGCCCACAGAGGTGTCAGGCTTGGAAATCCCAGGGGGAATACCAGGGGAGAAGTCAGCCAGCCATCTGCTCCCCCAGGAAGTGGACGGCCCTCTGTCCCTGAGAGAAACCTTGCAGCCAGGGGAGTTGGCAGTGTGGCTCTGCAGGGGCCTGGAGAAAGGCCGAGGCGGCTGGGCACAAGCCGAGGCCCCCGCTCAGGCCCCCGTGAGCTCTGGAAGTGGGAAGCGGACGCACGCTGGCCTTCATTTTGGTTTTTCAGCCCTGGTTTCAAGGTTGGGCAGGGAGAACCCAGAATTCAGGAGATCCAGGATTTCAGAGAGAGTGAGGATTACAGGATGCAGGGGAGGGCTCGGTCTGGCCACAGCAGCTGGGGGACAGCGTTGCCACAGGCAGTTCATCCACAGAGGGCGAGTGTGTGTGCGCTTGTGCGTGTGTATGTGCATGTGTGTATGCATGTGCACGAGCGTGCATGTGTGCACATGTGTGCGTGCGTGCATGAGTGTGCATGTGTGCGAGTGCATGCTTGTGCAGGTGTGCACACATACGTGTGCATGCACCTGTGTGCGCATATGCATGCACACATGTGCGTATGTGCTGCACATGCAAGTGTGTGTCTTGCGTGCTTATGTGTGCGTGCATGCCTGCATAAGCGTGGCATGCAATCACGTGTGAACGTGCGTGTGCATACACGTGTGTGTGCGCATGCGCATGTCTGCAGAGCCCACAGAGGTGACAGGCTTGGAAATCCCAGGGGGAATCCCAGGGGAGAAGTCAGCCAGCCATCTGCTCCCCCAGGAAGTGGACGGCCCTCTGTCCCTGAGAGAAACCTTGCAGCCAGGGGAGTTGGCAGTGTGGCTCTGCAGGGGCCTGGAGAAAGGCCGAGGCGGCTGGGCACAAGCCGAGGCCCCCGCTCAGGCCCCCGTGAGCTCTGGAAGTGGGAAGCGGACGCACGCTGGC